GCTTGCTGTTTGAAGTTTTCTGATAGGCATTTGATCCCTTGTTAATTCACTTCTGAAACTCTTTTCTTAAGCATCCATGAAAGAGCATCTATATATAGATTATATATATATATATACACATGCGTGGGTATATATATATAAATAAATAAATAAATAAATAAAGCCCTTGTTTTGCTGAACAGAGGAAGCTTTAAGATTTCTGGAAGGAGAAAAACATACCAAATTTAGAAGCAAATTGGAAACCCCTGGGCACTTTAGTCTGAGCAATCCGCTTCTAGTCACAAGTGTTGAATGAGGGGGTTTCTATTCCCCTTTCCTTGTGAGAGCATCTACTGAGATCTGTTAGCTGCCAATCAGTGGGACAAGCTGAGGGGGGACATGCAGGACTCTGGTCAGAGGATCTGACATCCACGGGATCCTGGCTCTGCCTGTCCTGCCATAGCATTTGGGTAAGTGATCAAGGTCCCTCTCCACATCTACGGCCTTTGCTACTCCCATCATGAGGTTATTCCTGCTCCTCTGGAGGCTGGAAACACATGTCTGGTTTCCAGCCTACATGTCCAGCGCGGATCAGTTGTGCTCCTCATTCCTGCCTGTTAGCTCTTTTATTGCTGCTGCACACGGCCTCCTTCCCCCGCTTCCCTGGGGTATTTTTAGAGCAGCCGTATCCCCTCTCCACCTCTGTTTCCCCAGCTGAGCGAGTTCAACTCGTAGCAGCTTTGCTCATAAAACAGGCTTTCCATCTCTCTGAACATCCCTGGACTGCTCTCTGTGCTTGTTCCAGCTGGAATGTCTTTCTCCTCCAGCAGGAGATGTGTTCGGAGCATGGCAATTCCTCCAGGATCCCACTTGTGCAAGGCTGTTAGACGCGTCCAAGCCCCCGTTAGCTGGTATCCTCCTGGTACCTCTGCTTGACGTCTGCCTTTTTGAGAGCTAAGTCCCGCTCGCAGCACGCGGTCGGTGACAGGTCTTTTTCTTCCCTCGCCAAACCCATGAGCTCCCGCTCTAAGCTGGAAAGTTTCTGCGATGAGCACCCGGGTGCGTGACTTGGTAACGCTATATTTCATCTCACTTCTGTTTTCCTTTCTCTCGAAGTCTTTCCCTTCTTCATAGGTGATGTTCTGGTTCTCATCTCAAGTTATCAGCGCAATCCTGCATCTTCCTAATAAGGTCACTAATGAAAATATCAAGCAAAGTTCATCCCAAGGCTGTGTTTTGAAGAACTCCAGCCCCACGAGTCTCCCTGGTTCATCCCTTACCTACTTGTGTGTTCCCAGCTTAGCTAAAAACATCCCATGTGACAGCGCATCACAGGCGTTACGGACACCTGGAAAATGGCTCGTTGTGCAGTAACTCCTCCTTATCACTTGTTCCTCCCCCACGATTATCAGGAACATCCCTTAGTGTTTCTGGATGAGCCTAACAGACTCGTTATTGCAGTCTGTTTTGCAAGAGCGTGCACAGATCTCTGTTGTGCACCAGGGCCATCAATCAGCAAGTTCTGTGTTTATACAACTCCGAGCACAACCCTTTTCCCCAAAAGCTTACAAACTAAGCCTGGGCTGCATTTTTAAGGATGCTGTCAAGTGCCAAGTGAGATTTCCAAGAGTAGTTTCCTCCTGGCTTCTTGCTGGCATCCACACCCGCAAGCCGGTGGGGGTTAATGCTTGGAGAGCGGGTGGAAGGAGAAGAGGGTGCGGTGAGCTGGACACGAGCGTCTTCAGCCTTCTGGCTTGGTGCTCCGCTCTGTGGTGACGGCTTCCAGGCTCTGGCCCCCTTGCCAGGGATGCCGCCCTGCGCGGCGGCGAGCACGGCGCTCGCTTGTGCGAGGGCTCCCACACGGCTTCCACCCCGTGACCTCTGCTTCCCATCTCGGAAACCCGGAAGGGCCAAATGCCTTCAATCGCGTCCAGCAGCGAACACTGCCTGTCAATGTGGAGCTGCTTCCTCCTTGCTGCCCGCAGCTGCTCGTCTCCTGCCGCTTGTGCTGAGAGGTGCTAAGCAGGGCGCGATGCCCAGCTCGGCTGCCTGCACGGGGCCCTTCGCTGCTGACCCTCTTAGCTCCAGCTGGACCAGCAGAGAGCTGCGTCCCAAGCTGGATTCCCACCCCTGGGTGACCACCTCTGAATTAACCCCCCAGAAAAGCCATTCACAAGTGGCTAGAGTTTGGGCTGCTCCAGACGGCAGTCACTTCTGAGAAGCACGGATCTGATGTGAAATTACAAAAATGCCTATTTACCACAATGACCAACGAGGCCAAGGAGCTCGAGTGCATGTTTGTATTTGGCAGTGAACCCTGTGCACAAATACTGACTTTGGCTGTGCCTCGTGTCTGCTTCATTTGTGGCCCAGGTGCGGGGGAGTGGGCGCCGGCGGCCGGCGCGGGGAGGACAGCGGCCGGGGCGGCCCCGGTGGCTGCTCCGCGGCCAGGCTGGGCTGTCGCTTTGGCCCAACGCCCGTTCCCTGCACGGGAGCTGGCGGCGGGAGCAGCTGCTGCGCTCGCGGGCGGAGGGCGGCTGCGAGGGGCTGGCACCGGCGCAGCGGGGCCGGCAGCAGCCAGCGTGTCTCAGAGGGACGAAGAGGCGACCGGATGCCCCCTGTGCCGCTCCCCCCGCCGGTCACTGCAGCGTGTCTGCCTGTGGCACCCAACAAAGCCTCCATGGCCCTTCCCTGGGCGCGGCTGCCGGCAGGGGCTCTGTTACCGTTAGTTTTTGTGATACACGTGCTGGGGCTAGGGATGGGGAGGAGAGGTGTGAATTCGCAATGTCCCCTTGCAGCCTGCAGGGCTCTCAAGCAAACGCAGCTGGTGCTGGTGAGAAAGCGGCATCCTCTGCCTGGAAGCCGGGAAGCTTCCTTAGGTGCATTTCCCACCAACTGGATGGCAGGGTGCAGTCCCAAATATGTAGCTGGCCATGGTTGGGTTTTACACCCGGTGTCACAGATTCTTGCAGGGCTCCTTTCAGCAGGGCAGGCTGGATAACGTCCTGCACTAAGTGTGAAACAAACACCCCACGCTGCTGCTGTAACATAGCCCAAGTGCATTTTCAGACTAAACTTGGGCAAGGCCGGCACGGGAGCGGGTCAGCGCTGGCACCCACCTGCAGCCGCGGTGCCACCGCCAGCCCCGCGGCCTCGCCGAGGCACCAGGCGGCTCCAAGCAGCCGCGAGCGATCGCGGCCCCGCGCACCGACGCGCTGGGATGAAGTCACGCCGCGTGCGGGTTGCCAAGCCCTTAACATGTGACTTTGAAAACATTATTTGCTGAGGAAGGAGCATTTTCAGGGGAATTGATAATAAAGGATGTAGTGGTTTTTTTGGAAAGAAAGCACGTTTTGTTCTGAAAAGGAAAACAGCAATCCTGAAACTTTTTTTTTTGAGGAGATAAATTGCTTTCTAAAAATGTGCTGTGGCTCCTTAGTGTTTCCGTGATAACTTATTCAGTGCCTGTAGTGCTGTTGTTTTGTTTAACGCAGCAACGCAAGGCTGAGCGGAGCAGCTGCAGCCTTTTTGTGCTCCAGCAGAAAATGGGAGTCGGACCCGGCTCAGACCTCGTCCTGGTGCAGCGGTCGGGAGCCTTCTTTGCAGGTTCGTTGCTGCGGCGGTCACCAAACGCTCCTGTTCAGCAATACAGTTACGATGAGAGTCCGGTTGCAACTGCCCCGCAGGACCTTGTGCTTGGCAGACCCAGGCAAACACTGCAGATTCCCACCCTGATCCCTTAGGCAAACGTTACTGCTGCTGCCTAAAGGAGCAAAAGCGCCTGGGGAGCAGCTCCTGTGGCAGGAACACGACTGTGGCCGTCGCTCAGCCTTGGCTCTGCCCTTGGAGCGCGGCTGCTCCTGGGCGCAGCAGCGTTTGGGGACCGCGTGGAGAGGAGCAATGTGACGAGTTCAGCCACGGAGGCCAGGGAGGTACGAGCAGGGGCTGTTGCCCGTGTTTTGCGGGGGGTTAAGAGCAGCTCTTAGATACAGAGCAGCTCCTCGGAGCCCATCATGTGACAGGGAACCAGTGTTTTTACTTACAGATGAGCCTGGATCCCTGAAGCTGGAAGGTGTGATGCCCATCCTGCCTGGCATTACTTGTGTGTGTGTGTTTACTTTTCAAATACATTTTTTTTTTCTTTTCTGGTTAGAATTCTTCTTTGTCCCCACGTGACAGGCCCCTCTCTCCACAACCTGGTGGCTCCCTGTGCGGGATGCGGACATCCCTCCTGAGCGTACTGTGCTCCTCGTTGCAGGACAGTAACGCAGCGCCCAGCTCACTGCCAGCAGCAGCCGCCGTCCTGGTGCCCTTCCCCGGGGAGCACCGTGCAGGAGCACCCGTCCTGGTGCCCTTCCCTGGGGAGCACCGTGCAGGAGCACCCGTCCCGCTGCCGTGTGCCCTGTGTGGCTCCCTCCCCACGATGCGGCCCGCGCTCAGGGGACACACGGGTGCCACGAGCCCACGGGCGTTTGGGGGCCACGGCAGCTGCAGCCGCGTCCCCAGCCCGGTCGCGGCGCAGGCCGGAGCGTGGCCCTCGTCCCGGGCCCGGGCCGGTGCTGGGGCCGGGGCCCTGCCCG